ATAGCCCATGATGGTGGCACTGCTGCAAGATACTCAAATGTATTACAATCAAACCAGGAACAAGCAGTACATGGCAGCAGTGGGGATGTGGTGGTGAGCTGGTTGCACAGTTCCATACATTCTGGGCAGTCCCCAATATGCAAAGCCCTGTCATCAGCATTTCCCCTGGGCTAGCTTGGGCAGCTCCGTGCTTAGCATTCGGGCGTTGGTGGCTCCCGTTCAAAGAGGCCTGTCTCTCCCTATTCATTGCATTGGTGGATCGCCGTGTTGTTCCTGTGACTTTCTAGGCATCTAAAAGTTAGGCGCCATGATGCCGAATGCTGCAACGCCCAAGTCCCTTTGTGGATCCGGGCCTAAAACTCTTCTGGCTAATTCCCCTGGGAGAACTGACCCAAAATCTGTGGCACTCAACCCATTCTGGCAAAGGGAACCGCTGACCTGCGGCAATCCCCATGACTGTGACAATGGCCCCAGGTAGCCACATACACGTATATCCAGCTTGGCTGGAAAGGAGCCTCTCTGTAGAAGGAGCATTGGGCTAAATTCTCTGCTGGTGGCGCAACTCCACCAAAGTCAACTGAGCCCCCAGGGACTTTGGCCTCATGTCCGAAGAGGCACCGCTTCCATTTTAGCCTCAACCAGGTCAGCGTCCCAGCTGCACAGGAGGGAAGAGGTCAACTGAAATATGTTGTTTATCGAAGCACTGTTCTGACATAGCTTGTATCTAAATGGTTTTATTGCTCTTGCACTTGTTAACTAACCCGTCATCTTACCTCAGAGAAAGTGGACTAGGACTACGTGCCACTAAGCCACGTTCCCTTGCCTGACTCTCTTGGGTAATTTGCAGTTAGTTAGATTAACCTCCGACTCGTCCTCATGTTACGTTCTTGGATAAACAGGTTCGACTGATGCTCTGAGGACACTTCACAAGCCAGGGATCTGGGTCAGGGGTGCAAGTGACAATCTGACAGGAGTACGTACATTCAGAGTCTGATTTAGGGGCAGGTGACCCAGGTGCAGGGATTGGGAGGGTGCTGAGCTCAGGGTGCTGTAAGGTATTCAAAAGTTTAACTAATGTGTGTGGGGCGGGGGGAGGGGGCGCTGAGGACACTCCTCTCCTGGGGCACCATTTGTTCTAGGGCTGCCCTGTGTACATTGGCTTCTGTGTTCCATCTCCTCCCTGTGGCCCCATCATAAGGTGAGCTCGCCCTTGAAGGCAGCTTGGGCATGTCTCTAACTGTCCTAGTTTTCCTCTGAAGGGTGGGACTGAGCCGATGCTGGTGAAAACCTGAGCAGGGGGAGCACAGGACTGCTTAAGAGCGTGAGATTAGGATCACCTGAGTCCAGGCTGGAAGCACGCTTGCTATAAAAGGGGCTGCCCGCACTAGGGTGACCAGACAGCAAGTGTGAACAATCGGGTCCGGGGTGGGGGGTAATAGGAGCCTATATAAGAAAAAGACCCAAAAATCGGGACTGTCCCTATAAAATCTGGACATCTGGTCACCCTAGCCCGCACTCTCTGTTTCTAAGAGCGCTGGGGAAAGAGAATCAGGTGGGAAAGTTTACACACTAACTAGGTGAATGGCGTAAGAGAGACTTGCGAAGAAGGGTAGCAGGACTCTCTTGGGAAACCCTAATGACAAGGGAAAGCAGTATGGTCAACCCCAAGTATGGAAGCACCACAAGGCCCCAAAAAATCATGATCGGCTAAAAAAATCAAGGGACTTGAAATAATAATAATATATGCTGGGTCCTTTTTTTTTCCTTAGTGAGCCTGTTGGGTACAGTCAGGTCGTGTTTTTCAGGGTTTTCCCCCCAAAACCATGAGGGCTAGAAAGTCAATTGCGCAATACACACCCCTCCAAAAAAAGAAAGTTGAGATTCTCACATCATCAGGTGACTTCAGCAGGTGGGGCTTTAAGAAAACACCAAATATTGTGACACTCATGTTTAAATTGCAAAGATGACAACAAAACAGATTATGCTTAGGTGAGCCAAGTGAACTGGTTGTTGTGTTTTTGTTTCTGGCTCAATAAAGCACGGATCAGGAGGGGGAGGGGGATTATATT